GATTGAATCTGACGATGGAAATCACTCAAATACAAATTACAGTGGAGATACTTACGCTGGAGGTTCAACCGCAGGACAGGTGGATAAACACAGAGAGTTGGATGGAAATAATGATATAATGAATGACCCGGATGCTTTGAAGCCGGATCTAGGAACTGAAGAGGACTTCGAAGTTGAAAACAACCGTTTTGGATTCTCTCAAGGACAACTCAATAAATTAGTCAATGGTAAAAGTTTGGCGGCTTTCTACGCCCTCGGAGGTCTTGCAGGATTAGAAAAGGGATTACGGACGGATCGAAGAAGTGGTTTGAGTGTGGACGAGCAGTCATTAGATGGTACGATATCTTTCGAGGAAGCAAGAGCTGCCGCATCTCGAGATTCACCAGATCTAAGCGAACAATCGAAATCTTCAAAGAATCCTATAGCTACCAAGGTGTCTTCATTGCCATCAACAGGGTCTGGACATGGTCAATCGAATACTCAAGCACAGGGTGCTTATTCTGATCGAAAACGCGTCTTCAAGGATAATCGATTACCCGAGAAGAAAGGCAAAAGCATTTTCGAATTGATGTGGATTACTTATAATGACAAGGTTCTGATCCTGCTGTCGATAGCAGCCGCGATATCATTGGGTGTTGGACTATATCAGACATTTGGAACGAAACACGACGCGGAACATCCTCCTATCGAATGGGTCGAAGGTGTTGCTATCATAGTAGCCATTCTGGTTGTGGTTATTGTGGGATCTCTTAACGATTATCAAAAGGAACGCCAATTCGTCAAACTCAATAAGAAAAAGGAAGATCGAGATGTGAATGTGATTCGATCTGGAAAAACTGTGGAAATCTCGGTATTCGATGTCTTGGTTGGTGATGTTATGCATCTAGAACCAGGAGACATGATTCCCGTGGATGGAATTTTCATCGAAGGACATAATGTTGTTTGCAACGAATCTCAGACAACCGGAGAATCCGATTTAATTCGAAAGCGACCAGCTGATGATGTTTACAATGCAATTCAAAATCACGACAGCTTGAGGAAATTGGACCCTTTCATTCTTTCGGGAGCCCAGGTCAGTGAGGGAGTTGGAACATTCATGGTCACAGCTACAGGTGTGAACTCGATGTACGGAAAGACATTGGTTGCACTTCGAGAAGATCCTGAATCTACACCTCTTCAAACAAAATTGAACACACTCGCCGAATACATTGCAAAACTTGGTGGTGCTGCAGGTTTACTTCTCTTCATCGTCCTGTTTATCGAATTTCTGGTCCGTCTCCCTAAGAACCACAACACTCCAACCGAGAAGGGTCAAGAATTTCTCAACATTTTCATCGTCACAGTCACAATTATTGTGGTTGCTGTTCCTGAAGGTTTACCGCTTGCCGTCACATTAGCCTTGGCTTTTGCTACAACTCGCATGTTAAAAGATAACAATTTGGTCAGACATCTCAAAGCTTGTGAGGTCATGGGAAACGCTACTACTATCTGCTCGGACAAGACTGGTACTTTGACTCAGAACAAAATGTTAGTCGTTGCAGGAACCTTGGGAACCAGCTCTCGATTTGGTGGTACAATTGAAGCGCTTGATAAAAACCAAGTGGACAAAGGCAAGCAACCACAGCGAGAAGCAGACAATATGTCTCCTGGAGAAGTGGTATCCACTCTGGATCCAAGCGTCAAGGAATTAATCAAGCACTCGGTTGTTCTTAACTCTACAGCTTTCGAGGGCGAGGTTGAAGGTCAAAGCAGCTTCATCGGTTCCAAAACAGAAACTGCGCTCTTGCTTTTCGTACGAGAACACATCGGACTCAGCTCACTCGACCAAGAGCGCTCTAATGCCACCATCACGCAATTGATTCCTTTCGATTCAGGCCGAAAATGTATGGGAGTTGTCGTACAACTTGATAATGGAAAATATAGGCTCTACGTTAAGGGTGCTTCTGAGATTCTTCTCGAAAAGTGCTCAGACATTATTCGCGACCCAACTAAGGACACTAGCAGCGTTCAAATGACCGATGATAACCGTCAAACTTTAACTTCGCTCATTGATAATTATGCTTCCCGATCGCTCCGTACAATCGCCCTCGTATATAAAGATTTCGATAGATGGCCTGCAAAGGGCGCTCGGATCATCGAAGGAGAGAAGAACCAGGTTGTTTTCGATGACATTTTCAAGCAAATGGTTCTCTTGGGTATTGTTGGAATTCAAGATCCTCTCCGTGATGGTGTTCCTGAGGCTGTTCGTATTTGTCAAAACGCCGGTGTGGTTGTTCGCATGGTTACTGGAGATAACATGGTCACTGCTAAAGCTATTGCCGAAGAGTGCGGTATCTATACTCCGGGTGGTATCATTATGGAAGGTCCAACTTTCCGAAATTTGAGTCAGGCCAAGAAAGAGCAGATAATTCCTCGTTTACAAGTCCTTGCACGATCCAGTCCAAAAGATAAAGAGGATTTGGTTAAAGCTCTCAAGAAACTCGGCGAAACTGTTGCAGTTACTGGTGATGGTACTAATGATGCGCCTGCCTTGAAGAAGGCTGACGTTGGTTTCTCTATGGGCATCGCTGGTACTGAGGTTGCGAAGGAAGCTTCTGCTATTATTCTTATGGACGATAACTTCAACTCGATTGTCAAGGCTATGATGTGGGGACGTGCTGTTAACGATGCAGTAAAGAAATTCTTGCAATTTCAAGTTACTGTCAACATTACTGCCGTTCTCTTGACTTTCATTTCAGCTGTTGCCAGTTCGGACGAAACTTCTGTTCTTACTGCCGTGCAATTGTTGTGGGTCAACCTTATTATGGATACCATGGCAGCTCTTGCATTGGCTACCGATCCACCAACTGCGAGCATTCTTGACCGAAAACCGGACCCTAAATCTGCACCCCTTATCACTATGACAATGTGGAAAATGATTATTGGCGAATCAATCTATCAATTGACCATCACCTTACTCTTGTTCTTTGGTGCTGAAAGCATTCTTTCATATCAATCCGACCGCGAAATTGCACAGATTCCAACTCTTGTCTTCAACACATTTGTGTGGATGCAAATCTTCAATCAATGGAAGTAAGTATTTCGAAAATCTAAAACTATGAATTATATACTGACTCAATTTAGTAACCGTCGTCTTGATAACAAGTTCAACATCTTTGAAGGAGTCTCTCGCAACTGGTTCTTCATGGGAATTAATGTCGTCATGGTCGGTGGTCAAGTTATGATCATTTATGTTGGTGGCAAAGCTTTTAATGTGGTTCATCTTAACGGAGCTCAATGGGCATACTCCATCATTCTCGGTTTCTTGTCTATCCCAATTGGAGCTTGCATTCGTCTCATCCCCGATGAGTTACTCATCTCGCTGGTTCCAAGTTATTTGAAGAACCGAAAGAAGAATCCAGAAGTTACCATCTCTGATGAGGAGGAGCAGTTCAGATTCCCTAAGCCATTGGCAGATGTCAAAGAAGAATTGACCTTCCTCAAGAAATTCAAGGGTGGTCGATTGAACAACTTAAAATTTGCCATACAACAAACTCGCGATCAATTATTGCCACGTTCTAGGAGTGGTTCTCGATCGAGAGAGAACTCTATAGCACCAGGAACACCTTCAGACGATCTCAATCGAGAGGACGCTTTTGGCAAGAATGGCTTCTCAACTCCTGAAACTCGTAAACGTGGACGAAGCACCAGATCTCGATCAAATTCAGCATTAGGTGCCACAACTGTCATGGCTGGTATCATCGCTGGTAGTGTTGCTGGATGGTCTCCGATTGAGAGAAACTACGGTGAAAGTGACGCGATGGGATTTACACGTTCTAAAGCAAGATCCGAAATCGAAGCTTCTGATGAAATTCAAATTCACCCAGACACCAAGCCGGATGATCCAATCATCACCGAAAATCCAACTCATCTCGATGCTCCACCATCGCAAATCCCGGAAATCTCACCAGTCCCTGCGGCTGACGTTCCGACGTTGAAGATTCCTACTCCAACAAAGAAATCTTCAAACGATGAATAACACCAACTTTATTCATCAAATTTATTTGATAACTACAGAACCCAAACTTTATGTAGATATGTACTTTTACATTAGCGCTTGAAACATCGTTTTTGGTTTTCGTTCTTTCATTACGAAAGTCATTGTGCTACTCAACATTAGCACTCGGCGTAAAGGGTGGAAAGAAATATACAACTATGGCGTTTCTCCTTCGATTCTTTTTTTATAGCTTCAACGACGGTCTTTTTAATACACATACCACATTTAAAAACTTGCTGGGGGTGGAGGAGAGAATGGGTGTAGATATTTGAGGTGGAGGGATGTATCAGTGGGTGAGCGGAGGAGGAAAAGAGCAACAGAAAAAAATCAGATACCAGCTTAGTATGTTTTTGAGCGAATTAGATATGAATATGAATGAGATGTTGATAGCGAGTCAGCAATCGCGAGGGATGTTTTTATGGATAGATGGTTGGTGATGAATCAAGAGGAATGGATGTTTGCGTGCATGCGTGCACGCATGGATTTTTAGTTTATACCTGCCTTGAAGTTAACACATTAGGGAAAATTACAGATAGATGTAAAAGAGGATTCATAATATTAATGAGTACAGTTGTGCACTGTGTGATTGATTAATTGCATGATTGTTGTCGTTGTTCTTGTTGAATGATTGAATGATTGATTGATTCATATGCTTGCTACCCATACCACCCTGTATCTCCATGAACAATCCTTAAGGAAACCCCAATCATCCAGAACCCCTTGCTAACATATGTATTACGCGATTAATATGAAATTCTGACGATACGCATTCTTACAGACGAAGTATGTGATAGACCGACTCCTAAAAAATTCTATGTATATGCGCCTGCCCTGTACAAATTTTCTATCTGTAAGGGTTTGTCCATGGACATCCAAATTGGCAAATTAAATAATGTGAAGAAAGCTACTCCCCCAAACGCCATGTCATTATGTGATTTCGTATCCATAGATCAGACTCCGGAGCTCAAGTCTTAGACGAGGTAGGTGTTGATGCCGGTGCCGGTTCTGGTTTGGGGTGGGTTTGTTTGAAATCATGACGATGGGGATAATTGGGGGACGTCTTGATTTCAATTTCTTGATCCTTGGGAATCATCGAGTGTTTGAGCTCCCAACCGAGTTCCTTGCAAATTTTCGAGACGACGACGTCGCATTCGCCGACGAGATCGATGTCGAAAGCGAGGTGACCGATGGGATCCCGATTGATTTGAATCTGTGGGACGTGGCTAGGAAGATATGGAACTACTTCACTGACTGGCGCGACTTTCAGGGATGTACCGATTGTGATGACGAGATCGACTTGATCTCTATCATGTTTGCTGAGTCTATCCGAGAAGACATCGGGAAGATTTTCGCCGAAGAAGGTGATGTCCGGTTTCATGATGCCAGGTTCGGGAATATCATCGCTTTCGTTGTCGTCACTATATTGTCCGTTTTTCTTCTTCTTGCCACCCACCGAAATTCTCTTACGCTTGCGAGTTGATTGAGAACTAGGTGGACAATTCGCCCTTTTGCATCGTGGAATTTTCCCGGCTTTGATCTCGTCAAAAATTTTCTCGCCTTCTACCTGGTGTCCGCAAACTTGGCATGTGGCGGTCGCGAACGATCCATGGCAGTGAATAACTTTTTCTGGAATTATTCCCGCAAGGTCTTCAATGTTGTCAATATTTTGTGTGTAGTTGGTGAGTAATTTGCCTTTTCTTTGTAGAAGTGCAATAAATTGATGGGTTGGGGAGTATCGAACGATTTCTGGCAGAATGGCCTTTGCAACACCAAAAAAAATTGACGGATCTTCTTTGAACTTATTAATGTTGAAAATCTCCTGAGGATCGTCGAGATTCAAGTGTCCAAACTGTGCGTACAGCCCATTTGCAGATCTGAAATCGGGTATGCCAAGAGAAGTGGAAATACCAGCGCCGGTGATGACAATGATTTTCTTGGCATGTCTAATGAGGTCTATAGCATCGTCGACAGTGTTATATGTCGGAATCTTTATACGTTTCTGTAACTCGCGGCGTATAGCGAAACTTAGAAACTGATAGTATTCTTCATCGGGTAGACCTTCAAGGTGCATTGGTGGGAGGACACCAAACGCAGTCAAGAGCTTTTTAGCGGTAATAGCGTCCGCTTCCACAGTAACTGCACAGAATTCTCGGGGTCCGAGTTTTCGAAGCAAGTTACGATAATGCTCACTTTCCTTACGAGTACATCGCTCAGGATCAGAATCTGATATCTATTTTTAGCATATTTGACGATCGGAAGATAGGGGTGAACTTACGATTATCAAGAATATCATCATTAGTTAAAGCTTCTACAGTATCTTCCATAAGGCTACTGTCAATAGAATCATCATCATCTTCACCATCATCGTCGTCTTCTTCCTCTTCTTCGAATTCGTCTCCTACACTGTTTTCATTGGCATCTAAAGCCGCTTCGAGATCCTCCGACGCTGCATTTTGGTGGTGTTGTGGTAGGCCACGTGAACTATCACGAACGACACCGTGGAGCGCTGCATCATCAATTTCTGAATTCTCCTCATCGGACACCAAATCGATAACTTTTGAAGAGGACATCTTGAGGGTAGAGCCTACACCGTTTAATGTAGCGGAACTCATACTGGGTTGACCAATCTTGAAGTCTGATATAAAAGGTTGGGATATCGAGAGATGGATGATGTGGAGAGTGGAGATATTTCCCAGGAGGTGTGCGTTTGCTTAGCTTAGGACAGGGCTCGTTAGGTTAGCGTAGCTAGCTTATTAAGCACGTGCATATTACAGTAGTCAAGAAGACACCCTTGCGAAGTTATTAGTCATCATGTCTTAGTCAGCAATGTTAGATCGGAGCATTGAGCGATAACGGTTGGTTTGAGATGTTAAGTGAAATGATTGGTTGGTGCTATTCGATAAGAGGTTCATGAACTGGCGGGCTTCTTAAGAGAAAAGAGAAAAGAAAAAAGAAAAAAAGAAAAGGGAAAAAGGAAAAAGGAAAAAAGGACCTGAATTCGTACCTACCTGGTGGGTAGATTATTCAATTGCCCAATGTGGATATTCCTTTTATTAGAGTTATCCGATGATGAAGCTTTGAAGTTTCCCTCATACCGCCCAAAGACTGAAGATCGAAATGAATCCCAAGTCTCCATATTATTTTCTACCTGGTGGAGACTTTAAAGGTGGAAATTTTATAAATATAAACTCTCCTATTACTTGGAACTACCGGTTCTCTTTGTTTTACCCATATTCTCAATTGAGTCGGGAAATGCATCTGAATAGTCTCATTTGCGTCATAGTTTCTCGTTGTTCTCCGTTCCATCAGCCACAATGGCTTCCACCAGAGACAGTGGAGATAACAGTCAATCATCTCCTCCATCATCCCCTCCTCCTCCTCATGTAATCTTCTCTACTCCATCCTTCACTCCCAGATTTGGTCGAAGGGAGTCAATCACAGCAGCAGATGATGGATCACACTTTCGTCGAAGGCTTCACAGGCCTGTCGTGAATATTAAATCGCATGCTAATGATAGACACATTCGAGTACAAGAACCAGAAGGAAGTCAAGCAAAATCGCCCGCTGCGAGTATATACATGGGATCATATACTCCACGACGGTCAAGATCTCTGGCTGGTTCAAGACCTGGTTCTATCAAAAGTCCTCCAACATCAAATCCAGCTTCTCCTAGAAGCAGTTTCAGTTTCAGTCATAGTCACATGAGTCACTTGTCGGATCTTTTACAAGATTATAATTTAGATCTCGAAACATATGGCGTTGAAGAATTGAGAGATGGATTTTTCGATGCTGCCTTCTTTAAGCCACCGAAAATAAGTCATGAAGAGCTCATGAAAGATGCAGAGTTCACATTACCAGCGGGGTTCAAGAAACATCATCCATTGTCATTAAAGCGTTTCTTTCCGAGACAATGGCATGGAATCAAGGAAATTTCCAAACAATTGGTGACTACACGAGCTGGTATCAAGCTCATCAAATCGTTCCTACCTTTCTTTATTTCTTATATTTTGTGTTTGGTCCCCGTTATCAGAAATTGGCTCGGTCGTTACAATTACATTATGGTCATATCGACGATTATCAACCATTCAGGTCGAAGTGTTGGCGCTCAGATTGATGGAACGATACTAACGATTGTTGGAACTGCGGGAGGATTAGGGTGGGGGGCTTTTGCGCTGTGGCTGTCAGATTCTACGGCTGTTGCCAGAAGAGGATATGGAGGAATTCTGGCCGCTTTCCTTCTTGTTTTCATGGGCATGATCGCGGCACTCCGTTCGTATTACATAAGATTGTACCAACTGGTACTATGTGCTGGGATGGCGGTTCTATTTACCTGTCTTGCAGATACCTCTGAGACCATTGCTTGGAGGGTGCTCTTTGAATATGGCATACCATGGTTGCTTGGTCAAGCTATTGCTCTCATAGTGTGTTGTGTTGTAAGTAAAGTTCTTTTTCATAATTATCCCGGGAAATTTGTTTGTCGGTAAGACTGTTGTTATTTCACTCTGCGAGTCTTGCCCATACTGGAACTTGGCAAAAATTTGCATCTTCGGGAATCAATTAACCCTTGGCCTCACACATCAGACACCGCTAACATCATATAGGTGGTTCCTGACGCTGGCGCAAGATCATTGGCTGTGAGCTTACACAATGCCTTTGACATTATGCAGAAAGGACTCCAACTCCCTCAATCAGAGCCAGTCACTGTCCATAGACAGCTGGCATTTACTTTCGTCAACCTTTCACAGGCGTACAGAGATTTGGTTCTTGATATATCTGTCACCCGCTTCAAGCCCTCGGACGTTGAGATATTGCGAAATTTAATGCAAGCAGTGATAAGATCTTTCTTGTCTCTCCGAATGGAATCGCATTTATTCGATGACTCTGATAAGGAAGAAGATTCCGACATAGCTCTATCCCCAGATGCATCAGCACTCAGTATTCGACGGTTTCATTCTGCTTCCGTGATCAATATTGATGGTCCACGACGTCCAAAGCTACAGAGATCAGATACTGAGGACCGAGCAGTGGAGTTGGTGGCCAGCAAACTTGCAGAACCTACATCGAATTTATTGTCATGTTTGAAGATGGCATTACAAAGATGCGATGCTGTGTTAATGGACATGTCTGGACATAGAGTATTTCTCGGCCCTCCTAAGGATGTTTCTTCTGACATTGTGGGCGCGATTACGAGTATCAGAAAGGCTAAGATCAAATACGACGAAGAAGAAGAGCAGTATGTATTAGTTTCCTTGTTTGTTTATTTTTTTTTCATCATTTTTTCCATCAGTGTCCATGGTTCTGTGCTATTCACATCAGCGTATTGGTTTTCTGGATATTTGATAGCCCAGATGACATTTTGATGGAATAAGATTTCTGCATCTGTTTGGTACATACTATTCGCTCAATATATAGAGTTTGTTTGGAACTCTCATCTAGGCTGCATATCATTTCTATTTGAAGTATTGAATGACCTGAAGCATTGACTATTGACTATGTTCGAAAGTTCGCTGCTCTTGAAAGACTGAAAAATATGGGAACAGATCGTACCGTCCATTGATACTGACTTGAACAATCTTAGGCTTCTCCAGAACCCAAATTTGCCTCCAACATATTCTGACCATCCTGAAGTTGTCGAAATATTCTTATTTGTCCATCCTATCAGACAAGCCGCAAATACTGCTGAAGCTCTTCTCGTTAAAGTGAACGAAATGCAGCAGAGACGCCCTGGTTGGCGAATCTACCTGCCATCTTATCCATTTGGCAAAGCTCTCCAACGTACAAATGGACAAGTTCGACATGACAGAGGGGGTGTAACAGCAGGTTTCTTTTTCCGAAGTCAAAGAGAACTTGCCAAGACAATGAAAGGAATGGCAAATGTCTATAAACCTACTCCACGGAAAGAAAGGGCCACAGAAGAAGAGGAAAATTATGACGACCTTGAGCCCACCGATACTAGAGGGGCATATGCCGAAGAGGAAGAAATAGCCATGGACAAGAACTCACAAGCTTCCAGACAAAAGCGCTTAAGATACAGAACTTGGAAAGTCCTTCATCGTTTACAAGGCTTCGAGACTAGATTTGCGTTCAAAGTTGCGATAGTGACTTCTCTCTTATCTGTTCCAGCGTGGTTAAGTCAGAGTAGAAGTTGGTGGAACAAATATGAAAGTTGGTGGGCAGTTGTAATGGTTTGGATAATGATGCATCCAAGGCGAGTACCATATCGTCGATTTAGACATGATTTAGAAATGACTTGAACTAATTTCTGACAGAGTTGGTGGAAATCTCCAAGATTTAATAACCCGAGCGTTTTGTGCTATACTTGGCGCTGTATGGGGTGGTATAGCTTATGGTGCTGACAATGGAAATCCATACGTTATGGCTGCATTTGCAGCCATATTCATGATACCTATGATGTATCGGTTCACGCAAAGTCCCCATCCTCGATCCGGTATTGTAGGTTGCATATCATTTGTAGTTGTTTCACTAGGTGCATATACAGCTCCGAATGATATCCCTGTTGTCACTGTGGCTTGGACTCGAGGAGTTGCTTTTCTGGTTGGTACCGTATCTGCCGTTATCGTTAATTGGTTTCTATGGCCATTTGTCGCGAGGCATGAATTGAGGAAGGCTTTGTCGTCGATGCTCATTTATTCGAGTATAATTTATAGAGGTGAGCTATATTCTGAGAATTACTGCATCTTTTATTAATTAATGCAGGTGTTGTTGCAAAATACGTATATTATGAAGACGGAGAAGAGCCAGGTGTGAAAGATGTGCAACAATCTGGTACGTATTTTTGTCCATAACTTTTAAACAGGACTGATACTCTTTAAGAGATGCTGGAAGGTCGCCTGAGAGAAGGATTCGTTAGGATACGACAGTTATTGGTAAGTTTCAAAGTTTCCATTTGGTTTCATGATTGTAAACATGCTGACGTTTTGCAGGCTCTTACTCGTCATGAAATCCGACTTCGCGGTCCCTTTAATCCACTTCCTTATTCGGCATTGATCGATGCCTGCGAACGATTCTTCGAGTATCTTGTCTCTGTACGACAGTCCTCACTCTTTTTTCAACCACATTATCTTTCCGAGAACGAGCAGGCATCTGAATCGCTACTCGCCTTTCGGCGTGATGCAGTCGCCTGTATCCTCATGAACTTGTATGTTCTAGCTGGGGCATTGCGAGGTGATAGGAAAGTTCCTGTGAGTTCCATTGTCTGACAAGGTAAATATTTGATACTGATTAGAAACAGAGATATCTTCCATCCGCAGCATCTGCTCGAAAACGTTTGCTAGACCATATGGCCCTACTGGAATCCATGAATGTTCCTGCGACATCTAGTAGTATGTCCGTTAAGTCGAAACGAAGTAAAAGGAAAAGCAAGAGTAAGAAAAACAATGATACAAGTGAGACGGCAAATAACTTGCCCGGAGGAAAGAAATGGTCTCAAATTTATAGTTACAGTACGTATTTGATACTTCCGACTCATGGGTTCTTCAAAATTTCGGGGGCGTATTCATCTACTTCCGAAGATGCAATTTAACACAAAACTTCTAGGCTACAGTCAGTCCCTTACAGGATGTGTAACACAATTAGAACAACTATGCAGATACACCAAGGAAATCGTTGGTGAGCAAGGGTATGTGCCATTGTTACCTCTTTCTTCTTTATCTATATTCTTCGTCCTCATACTGAACTATTAAACATTGCTAACCAAAACCGCAACAGCTTCGATCCCATTCTTGAGGACGAATACGAAGATCTTACTCGCGACCGCGTGAGTGGTCACGGATTTCTTGATGGTCAAATTACACCACGAACCACTAGAGGCTGAGAGCCCGAGGATACATTGCACAACAGTGGAACTAATCTTTATACAAAATCGATCAATAGGACCGCTGGCGCAACGGTAGCGCGTTCGACTCCAGATCGAAAGGTTATCCGTTCAAATCGGGTGTGGTTCAATACCTACTCCTTTGATTGATTTATCTTTTTGCTTTCCTTTTTACCTTTGTTTGCCCAATACAAATGATTGCTTGGATTTTCTACGAACTGGTTTTGGTGTGCGGTATGCGGTGTATAATGATGTATTTTTGTAAAGTATGTACTTATGGTATGACGGTTTCAAAGGTGTTGGTGTCCGATAGACTTATGGCTGCAAGCGTTGTTTTTATCCCATACGATTAATTTTACTCCTTTGGCGAAATATGAAAAACGGTGATATGTTCCATTTGCTCTTTTTTTGCATTGCAACAGCTTCCCTGAGTTCAATGGTTTGCATCCATCTCGGAAACACTCTACCGATGCTCGTAGAAATTTTATTATCCCACTTTTGCCACGTTGCCTATCCTTGTCCGAATTGTGGAATTCCTACAAGGGTTGAGATTTCTAAGGCGGGACGGCAAAGGATAATCCACATGGGTATGTACCTCAATGGGTACATCTCCCGAACGGCTCTGAAGTGGGACTGAATAGTGAATTTCGAGTGACGAGATCCGCTTCCCTAATACCGTTAAGAATACGCATAGAAGAGACGCAAGAGGAAAATATCGAAGACTTTGAATGAAGGAATGAGTGGGACTTCTCGATCGATATCTTGTACTTGAATTCGAGATCTTCACTCACAAACCATTGTAGTTATTTTATAGAAGATCATTAGCTAGAAAGAAGTAGATCATTTACCCCGACCCACATCCATCCATCCATCCCCTCGCTACCCCTCATCAAAACTCAAACTCAACCCCAAAACCATACAACCCACATCCCCACCACCATGGCCAACTCAAGCCACCAATACGACACCATCCAAGGCCCCTACGACTACATCCGCACTGCCTCCATTGCCCTCATCGAGCGCGAAAATGTGCGTACCGCCATCACACCCTACATCCAAGATGCACGCATCCTCGAGCTCGCATGCGGCACCGGGTTCTACACCTATCCATTCCTATCCTGGGGCGCGCAGTCTGTTCTCGGCGTTGACATCAGCGCCGTCATGATCGACTCTGCGCCGCGTCTCGAAAACGCCGTCTCTTTCATCCAGGGCGATTGTTCCGTTCCGACGAAATATCAAGACGGACCCTTCGATATCGTGTTTGCGGCGTGGCTTTTGAATTATGCGAGTGATCGCAAGGGATTGGTGGATATGTTTCGCAACATTGCGGTGAATTTGAAGGAAGGAGGGAGGTTTGTGTCGGTTACTGTACCGCCGACTTCTGATCCGATAGCGTCTGTGAATGCGGAGGCGAGCGCGAGGCCGATGAGTCAGGGCGGAAGCGGGTATTTGGTGTATAGCCATATTCGAGATGTGGAGGAGGGGATTTATTTTCGGGTGCACGGGGATACGCCGGTTGGGGATCTGGATTTCGAGTGTTATCATCTGAGGAGGGAGGTTTATGAGGAGTGTGCGCGAGAGGCGGGGTTGAAGGGGAAGTTGGAGTGGGGGTTACGGAGGTGCCGGAGAAGTGGTTGAGGGGGGATGGGGAGGGAGGAGCTAGTTTGAAGGAGTTGGAGAGTTATAGGGAGATTCCTAATTATGGGATTTTGGTTATTGAGAAGTAGTAATTTGAACGAGTTGGTTAAAGAGAATCTGCTTGAATACTGTTTCTATGTGTAGTTGAGTGAGTTCGAGCTACTAGGAGCCATAGATATGGAACGCTGGCTACGATCATTGAAGTAGAGATTTGACCGGTATACCAGTTGAGGTAGATGAGAGAGCTCAATGGGAAATCACAATTGGTAGTTGAATTGATGACTGCATAGACAATCCTGATCAGTTATAGAGAAACAGGAATCGTTTCGTAAGAAACATGGAATGAACAGCACCAGATAGCACCCAACGACACAATGCCGATGATATATTCCAAAGCTACATAAACAGACACTGCAGCAAAAAGTTTATTACACCTATTCAATCCCTTCCTAGAGATGCAAAAAGCTTGTCGTATTCAAGAGCTCCTTACATAAATTGAAGATAAGTAAATAAATATCAGTTCCCAAAAACCATTGCTGAAGCTGAAAAGTGAGACTAGCAGTATTGTTGAGACCCTTTCGCTGCAGTCGTCATAAGAAAGCGAATCAGAATCCAGTAGAGAAAATATCACGTCATGTCAGCTGGCAGTAACAAAAAGTGTCTATAGTTACAAATACAACTAGCCTTTCCTATTGATGAGCTTGGGAAAAGAACATGGAATCTTCGAGGCGGCGACTGCGCGAACAAACGAAGTAAGACACACAAATTTGAAACACATGATGTAATCATCTCAATCAAAGATCCGAGATTTACCGAGGAGATTCGAGGGTCTCCTGTTCCCTCTCTTAAAAGACTTGTGTGTTGAATCATCCAGCAAGCGCTGTTATGGATCAGGAACTATGTAACATTAGAGAGATACTTCGGCCGAGAAGATATTTGGAGGAACTAACTCATGTTTCTGCAATGCGCCCTGTACAATTCAAACAATTGGACAAATTTTACCCTGCAAGCTACACTAGTAGAGAGGAAATCGAGGTGAAATGTCAACGGAAAAACTACTCCTAGTATCAGGCAGATACCACTGTCTCCTTGATATTGACATCGCTTGAATCAAGCCTCGGTGTCTTCGATCATTACTGTTTAGCTCAATGTTCGAAATGAAGCTGTCAAACAGCATGATCTTTAATCCCGTAAAGCCACGTCTGTGCTTTGGCAGTAGCATTAGAGAATTAGAAATACATCTCCTCACCGTGCAATGGGGTAGAAATTAGCTTGCGCGCTCGCCTGTCGAGGACCCTCGACAAGATGGGTCAACCGCAATAAAAATTAATACTTCGTAGAATGCCAAATCCACTTTTTAAATTATAGCAAGATTTCATACGCGTTGAAATCAGATGTCACTTAACTCTTTGCCACCCCGTATATGGGGTCTGGCCAAGAGAACCCTGCCAAACCCCTGAAAATACAATGGATCGGCCCCATAAGCCGCACCACGGCTAAATGTCAAATTTCTTCAAGCGACGTGCCCACTCGCGAACTATCGCATGTATTGTCTAATCGGGATGCCATATTTTGTCCATACCCCATTTATGTAATGCATGCTCTACACTACACACTCAATTAACGTGGGAGGCGGCCGAAAATGCAAACCTTTTAGGTGCGGTCGCCGAACTGGCGGAGTATCGACGAAAGGAAATAAGCTCAATTCCAGTGGTATGGTAGATGTTTATCCTGCCGGCATTTCCACCCTTCAATGGTCAAACTTTTTTCCTCTTCGTTGTTTGTCGACTTTGAGCCTTGAGAATTTTTCACAATGGAGGCTGCTACAGAGCATGATATCGAGAAGGGTGTACAAGTCCATACCGCCGCCGACAACTCCACCGACCGCGATGGCAAATCCACTATCGATGCTGAGAATGACAGTTCTCGGCTTTCTGGTTCCGAGCGAGGCTTGAGCTACTGGAGCGTCAAATTGGAGAAAATCTGGGGAGTGGAAGCCCGTGGTATCACCCGTGTAGCTGACAACGAGAAACATGTGCCGCGTCCGCTTCACGACTATTTCCACATGTTCTCGCTATGGTTCAGTATCAATTTGCAAGCCATGAACATTATTGTTGGGCTACTTGGACCCTTGGTTTACGGACTCGGCTGGGTGGATTGTATTTGCATTGTCATTTTCGCGAATGCGCTCGCCTCGACATCAATCGCGTACATGGCAACCTACGGACCAGAAAGTGGCAATAGAACTCAGGTATGCTTCTTCAAAAAATGTTCTTTGAGTAGGTGCTAATATTTGCGCTTTGATAGATTATTGGACGTTATTTCATGGGTTACTGGCCCTCGAAAATTGCATGCTGCTGCAATGTTGTTCAGCAAGTAGGCTTTGGTACTATTGGGTGTATCATCACTGGACAAATGATTACAGCCGTTAACGGAGGGAGCTTGAGTTTGGCCGTTGGATGCGTCATTGCCGCAATCTGCATCGGTTTAGTCGCTACTTTCGGTATCGAATACTTGAACAAAATCGAGAGGTGAATATAGCCACCATTCTTGGAAGATTGATGTTCAAAATGCTCACAAATAAATAGATTCGGATACATCCCACAAGCGATTGTTATGTTCGTACTTATTGGTTGCACTGGAGGAGATTTCGATACCCATGCAGTCTCCGTTGGTGATTCCGGAACCATTAACGCTAATCGTTGTTCGTTCTTCGCCTTGATATTCGCTAGTATCATTGGATTTACCGCCATCAGTGCCGACTTTTACGTCTACTACCCCAAAGATTATCCTAAATGGATGACATTTGCATCCACGTGGACTGGCATCTGGACATCTGTAATTTTTGCCAACATTGTTGGAGTTGGTATCGCTACTGGAGTTCCAAACATTCCAGCCTGGAGCGACGCCTATGACATCTCGTCTGGTGCGCTTCTCTATGAGTGCTATGGCAGGCTCGGAGGATTCGGCGGCTTCTGCGTCGTCATTCTTGCCCTTGGTTCCATCACCAACAACGCACCATGTAGTTACAGTGCGGCATTGACCATTCAGGTACTCGGACGCTGGGCAAACAAGATCCCTCGTTGGTTCTGGTGTATTCTCATCACAGCAGTTGAGGTAAGCTCATTCCACATCATCCTATTTTCATCTGTCCGTAATACTAACTCTAGCGCTACAGCTCGTCCTTTCCGTCTGTGGGCGCAACAAGCTTTACACCGTCTTTGAGAACTTCCTCCCTATGATGGCATATTGGATTTGCCCCTGGATTACCATCAGTCTTGAGGAATATTTCATCTTCCACAAACTACAAGGCAAATCGTTCGACTGGTCCATTTATAACGACAGAACCAAGCTACCCATCG